CACGAAATTTCAGCTTTATTAGTAGCTCGTGAAAGCTTAGAGGCAAGCTACTTCTGCAATCCTGTGCATCAACTTTCTCACTTTATTTCCAGTGCAACAACTGTCTCACTTTATATTTGTTTTTTTTCCTTCTTCCCTGCTTCTTTTTAGCAACTGATTTTGGGTAGGACTAATTCTATTCTATTACCATCAATAAATTAATGCATACTATTTTTTCAGTTTTGCTCTGAGCATGTCATGTTAGAAAGATTTATCTTTACATCTTTTTGTAGGGATGAGACAGGGGAGATTGGTGAGAATCAAGCAATAGCTGGGGTGGTATTGTGGTCTTTGAGTTTGAGCTGAAGTCTTGTGACCATGGCTTCTTCTTGGATCACATCTACTTCATGTTCAAGCTCTGTGATTTCCAAGGAGACATCTCTTCCATCCATGTTTCAATGGATGAGATTCGTTTTCCTGTCTCCCGTGTCCTCAAAGAGCTAATTTTTTTTTTTTTTTATCAGCCAAGGTAAAATAATATTAATAAAGAGTACAAGGGGTATTCCAACCCATAAATACATGTATAGAACTACATATCACAGAGCTATTAGTTTAGTCTCCCTGATAAACTAAAACATACGAAATAATCCAAAACGTGAAGTAAGTGGCCTATCGCAAGCACCTTCTAGCCATCCTAATAGCTTGATCAAAGAGCTAATTCTATCTACAAATTACTTAATATGAGTAAAACATAAAATATATACTTTAAAAAACTATAAATTAAAAATATTATGTTGATTAAGTATTTTAACTGAACTATATACATAGCCTTGTTCTTTAAATATTTGACTCCAGGAAAGAAGTTTGGGTTGAGAATGGGCTAAGCCTGAATTAGTTAATTGGTGCGTTGGCTTGGCTGGTATCCTCACTTTTCATGGACAGCTCGAACTAACATCTTGCGTCAAGTAAATAGCAGAGGTAAATGGTACGCACCACTAGATGTTGTTGATAGGCTAACGGAAACTTAAAACATGTTTATGATATGTCAGCTATAGGAGTGCTGAATTGTGCCCTTGAGTTCCGCTAGGCACGAGTACTTGTACTATTTCTTGAACAATTAAGAACAAATTGGTAGAAAAGACAGACAATTTCACCCCATATTAAATGTTGAGAAAAGTGCACTTTTAACCAATTAACATGAAGAGATGGTGCAGAACTACTATTTGTTTTATTCCCTACA